AAAGAGGCAGACAACAACGACAAAAATTCCTGCGGATGAGCGATTTTGTAAAAAATGTAATACAAATTCAGTTGAGGACGAACAACATTTTATCCTAGATTGTGAATTTCTCAATAAAGAAAGAGGGGAGCTGTTTCAGGAAATAGGAATTAAAAATAAACTAAATAAAACAGATAATTTCATTAAAATAATGACGTGCTTCATACCCCTGGCAAAGTTTCTAAATAAGGCAAAACAGAAATCAGGTATATAATAGCTATCACCTCTACATTGGGAGAATCCTGTAACTATCCTTAATTTGTTTTTCCTATTAAGCTTTTAACATCTTTTATTTTTAATTTTATCTTATAGTCTAGCTACTGTATTTTTTCTTATGATTTGTATTTTATTTACCATACTGCGCCCTCTGATGGCATAGTAGTGTAATAAAGTTATTCTTATCTTGCTATGATTTGAATAAAATCAATTATTTCCAAATAAAAAGAACTTTTAGTTGATTGCCCTGCATGCACATACATACATACAAGTTTTTTTTTTTTTGTTTTGTTTTTTAATACTGAGCTAAAATGGGGAATATTTGAGACAAGTGCGAGTACAAGTGCATTTTGGAATGCTTTAGAAGGAAAAAAAAACGTCTGAGGCACATAGTTCAAAATGATGCGTGCGGAAACGAGAAACAGAGATATTTTATTTTCTCAGCCTAACCGTGTTCTAGAAGTTTCCCAAGCATTTTTGCGTAACAGTTCCATGATAAGTTGGCATGTTGACTTTCCACTAATCGTTTCAGTGAAAGCAAAAATAAATTGATGAGCATACATTGAGCTGTATATGAAATCTACATTCGTTATGAAACCCAGTAGCAACTATATTGAGTTTATTCCTCATTTTCATAGATCAACTTGAGATACTATCTTGCAAATAATATCCATATCACAAATTAATGATTAAATTAAAGATTCATTAATTCTCGGTGGCCTACATATATGATTATTGCTGGATTACTAAAATTAGACACAAAAATAAGAATGGTGTTAAAATATCTACATCTATGTATCTTATTATAAAATATTCAGAATGAATGTCGGGGAAATGCCGGCATGAAGAGATTCCAGATAAAATAGGAAAGAATGAATGGACAAACATTCAAATGAAGGTAACTGCAGGATTTCATAGTTTGATTTTGGTCATTGAGGGTGCTATCACTAACAATAATTGTACTACATCAAGCCACACTCGTATAGGTTTCAGTATGTGTTGCGGATGGCCGAGGTCTGAGAAGCATTCTGAAAAGCGTCTATTTTTGGACTCTCCTGTCAGAGTGTTTTCAGTTCAGATGACTAGCACATGTCATTATGTAGTACAAAAGCCAACAATATCAGGTCAAAGGTCAAAGCATGTGTACACAAAATACTTGATGCATGTATATCTGAGGTCAGAGTTTAACTTGTATATCTGTATAAGGACATGTGTACTTTAGTCCTAATAAATAATTAAAGTAAACAGTGCCCTGATTTTGAAACAAAACCCACATTGAGCAGATTCCATCATTAATGGCGGCTATTGACAAAACATGGAACGACCCAAAGCGAGCCACAAACAAACCAAAATGAGCCAAATACATGTAACTCCAAAATGAGCTAAAAAACGAGCCATACATTCCAAAAACTAACAAACCAAAATTAGCCACAAAATCAAAAAAGGTGAGCGATCATTTTGAAAAGATACTTCGAACTGGCAGTTATTGCTGGATTACTAAAATAAGAGACAAAAAAAAATAAAGGATGGTATTAAAATACCTACATCTATGTATCTTATTATGAAATATTCAGAATGAATATTCCAGATAAAATAGTGTCCCAGAAAGCTGGTTGACACATCCCTTGAAGGTAACCTACTCAAGTGAACTAGCTACCATAGTTTAATATCCCTGGTAACTATGTCATGTTTTTTTTGTGCCCGGTACCAAAGGTGCTGAAGTGTGCAATTAAATCTTAATGGTTGGAACTTCCTGTCTTGATTAATTGCCTGATGTCATTTGACTTCACCTGACAGGTATTTCCTATTTTAGCGGATCATGTGACCCTGTTACCAATCAAATTGTTTTATTTATACGCGACCCAATTGAATCCCCTTAATATTTTTGATTGATTTAGCCCCATTTTGGCTTCAGTCACACACCCATATACTAACTGCTATAAATTAGCACACAAACCAGCACTCTTCGGTCAGTTCTTGCAACTCACCCACAAGACCTCAAGATCAAGCCCACCCCTGAAGAACTAAAGGCCTTGCACTCCACAGAGCTTGGACAAAAATATAGAGATAATTTTGGCTCTATACCAAGAGAATTGTGCATTGCTTTAAGTTTTCAGTAAAGATATTGTGAGACATCCTCTGTAAAGGTTTCATAGGGCAGCTTCAATGTGCTGTTGTCTTGGCAAGTCTATGTGACTGTGACCCATGACCCCACGTGACTTCCATGTACCATGTCATTATTGTATTATTAATAAAAGAGGTTAACAGCGTATACTGTGTTAAAGTGATTCAATTATCAAAGAGTTCCCTTGCCCCGCACCAGTCCCATTGAGTGATATATTTTCACTCCAAAGAACCCCTACCTGTTGACGGGAAATACGCTACCTGTCCTCACCTATCAACAAAAGAAGCAAAACGTTACAATATAGTTAAGAATGAATGGACAAACATTCAAATGAAGGTAACTGCAGGATTTCATAGTTTGATTTTGGTCATTGAGGGCGCTGTTACTAACAATAATTGTACTACGGTACATTAAGCCACACTCGTATGGGTTTCAGTATGTGTTGTGAATGGCCGAGGTCTGAGAAGCAGTCCGAAAAGCGTCTATTTTTGGACTCTCCTGTCAGAGTGTATTCAGTTCAGTTGACTAGCACGTCATTATGTAGTACAAAAGCCAACAATATCAGGTCAAAGGTCAAAGTATGTGTACACAAAATACTTGATACATGTATATCTGAGGTCATAGTTTAACTTGTATATCTGTATAAGGGCAAGGATACATGTATGTGTACTTTATTCCTATTAAATAATTAAAGCAAACAGTGCCCTGATTTTGAAAAAAAATCGTTTGATAAAGTATAATTTAAATTTTTTATCTTATATCAGGGGAAGTCATTTGAGAAAGAGTGATCTGCACTCCACTCGCCAATCACTCTCGCAAATAGAGCTAATTATCACTCATGCAATGGACACCATTTTCTAGAGATTTGCATAGTACAGTACGAGTGTATCATTTGAATGTGTAAGCTGGCTTAAATATACCGGTAGCTGGCTTAGATTGCTTTCTAAATATGCCACATATTTAAATATTTAGGCGTAATCCGCCTAAATATTTCCTATAATAGTAACACAGGTGAATACTACAAAGAAATTATGGATGACAAATATACTCCCTTTAAAAATGATCAGTTTTCATGAAAAGGCACAGACTGCTGATAGGCACACCAAACTGTACTGTATCTCTTGCTATAGCTACCTTGATCACTCGCTGTACTAAGTACAGAAGTGCTAATGGACATGGCCTGATTTCTACTTTTATAACTCTAAAAATATCTATTGGGACTCACTGGTACATGGAACACAGTACACGCATAGTTATATAGTCCAGCATTGCCTGAAGACAATAACAAAATTAATGTTATTGCCTGACTGACTTTGTGTTATTTATTTTATCACACCGAACAGACATCAACCCACATAAACAATTGCATTGAATATATATCTCAATGCCTGTGCACACTAATAACATTAATATTAGAAGTATGTAAAATATGTTATTTCATTGACTTTGTAACACAAAAACCATACTCAACATATACAGAACTAAAACCAAAATTCAAGTGCATCTGTACAACTATAGCAACTATATGAGTTTATTCCTCGTTTTTATAGATCAACTTGAGATACTATCTTGCAAATCATATCCATATCACAAATTAATGATTAAATTAAAGATTCATTAATTCCCGGTGGCCTACATATATGATTATTGCTGGATTACTAAAATTAGACACAAAAAAAGGAATGGTGTTAAAATATCTACATCTATGAATCTTATTATGAAATAGTCAGAGTGTTTTCAGTTCAGTTGACTAGCACATGTCATTATGTAGTACAAAAGCCAACAATATCAGGTCAAAGGTTAAAGCATGTGTACACAAAATACTTGATGCATGTATATCTGAGGTACGAGTTTAACTTGTATATCTGTATAAGGACATGTGTACTTTAGTCCTATTAAATACTTAAAGTAAACAGTGCCCTGATTTTGAAACAAAACCCACATTGAGCAGATTCCATCATTAATGGCGGCCATTGACAAAACATGGAACGACCCAAAGCGAGCCACAAACAAACCAAAATGAGCCAAATAACTCCAAAATGAGCTAAAAAACGAGCCAAACATTCCAAAAACTAATGAACCAAAATTTGCCACAAAATCAAAAAAGGTGAGCGTTGATTTTGAAAGGATACTTTGAACTGGCAGTTGGGGGGGGGGCGTTGTCCCCAAACGACACAATGAAAAGATGTAAATAATAAATAAATAAAAATCTTATGATAATATGAGTAAGTAAATAATAAATAATTATAATGCAATAACAAAAACTAATGCATAATAATTTTAAGTGATAAATAAACATTACTAGATAATTATTAAGAAGTAACTAATATGTAAATAAAGTCTGGACCTACTATTTCCAAGCTGTGCTGCAAATGGAAAAAAACAAAACAAAGGGTAACAAGAAAAAAGTGAGTAAAGAATAAAAACCTGTAATATAAAAAAGTGCTATTTACTATGTTCCTCGATATCGCCCGGCCTGTAACTTAAAGTGCGGTGGTCGTCGCGCAGCGCGTGTTCGAATATCATGTAAATAAATAATGTACCGGTCACTGGTAGCATAGTGGTTGTCGCATCAGACTCATGATCGGTAGACCCAAGTTCAAATCCTACCTTAGGCTGAACATCAAAATGGTCGACCCCTACCCTGGGTGAGTGTACCACAGACTCAATGGGAAGGCCAATTCCACTGGCCGAGATTCATTCACTAACGAATGCGACTTTGGGGGAACCTTGGTTAAGGTCCGCAGGTGCTTGTGTTCGACCGGGCCTGGTTGACGCCAGGATAGCGCATTACAAATTGCCATTTGACAGAGATGGCCACACAGCCCTGTCATGTAGTCCCAAACATGAATATGACTTCTGTGGCAAAATGCACTATGTGTCTTCACTAGAACTTGCAATTTGCACATACAAAAAAAAAAGTCAGGAGAGACAACAGTGACACTAAATGTCCGGAACTGTCGCCTGGCACAAAAAATATTTAAAAAAAAAAAAAAATAAAAAATAATGTATTTTACACACGTTGTATACGTCGCTATGAGTCCCATATCGAACAGGATGCACAACGACTGCCACCCTTTAATTTGGAGGGATATTACAACGCGTTTTTCACAAACGACACACATTTTAAATTGCGTTGTAGCTTGTGATAAGGGCGACTAGTACATTTTACTGGGGAGATAAAATTTTAATTTAGAACGCAAAACGGTTGCTATGTAACAGTTTATGGCTATGAAGGTTAGTTTACCGGTAATAGTAAAATTTTATTTGATAGAATGATCTTGAAGTAAATAAAGATTGGTCACAGTAACGAATGATTGATATGATGTGGTGTGTAAATAAGAAACTATCAATCTTAAAATGTCACCGTGGAAATTATCGCAATAAAATGCTTATGCATACAAGCGTGTGTTTTTTTTGACACACTATCGGGACTCACCCCTCTGATTGTCTGAATCACTGTGAATGATGCTGACATTACAGAAATGTAGAGAGGCAAATTATTTTTAAGTTTTGAGCTGGATTTTTTCACGATGGTGTACCTGTAATATTGTCCTTCGTTCTATTAAAGGAGTAAGTTATTTTTTTACCTCTTAGCCTGTGCAAAGAAGCTGTGCGTGAACGCAACTATTATTTATTTATTTGCATACGTACATATACCCATTACGATTTGTTATTTATTTACTTGTGTTGACTTTTTCTGGGACATTGCCAAATTATTCAGATGACAACAACGCCTCCAACTGCCAGTTCAAAGTATCCTTTCAAAATGGCTGAACACTCATCCTTTTTAGATTTTGGGGGTATTTTGACTCATTTAGGGTGTGGATCGTTTTGGTTCGTTCCATGTGACTTAAAATTGTGGGGGTATTTTGGCTCATTTAGGTTGTGAATCGTTTTGGTTCGTTCCATGTGACTTAAAAATATAAGTTGCCCTTATATTGAACTCAATTTCTCTTATCTGGTAATTGAACATTGAGTAACAATTTGGGCGGGGTTTCCAAAAAGTGTACATCTCGTGCATTGTATACTAATTTTACATTTGACCTTGAAAATGGGTGCATGCCGATGCTATTTTGTTCTAAATTGTATAGTTATAATGTCTCCCTAATTTGCTGCGCGCCTTGGCCTTGGGGCTGTGTGGTGTGCCAATAAAACAATTGATACATATGATTGTTATCAGAATATATACCGATGACATCTTAAGCATGAATTTGACTAGTAAACGTGGTTGTACTCACCCGGTGAAAAGTAGGGAAAACAAACTTATGTATTC